AAGCCCAGTTTTGTGTTACCTGGGTTGTCCCTCCTGTGCCATGATCTAATTATGAAGCTCATCTTCTCGATACCCTGCTGGCCTTGTCTTCAGTAAGCTGTGCTCCTCTCGACTCTCCTCTAATCTAAGAGCGCTGCAGCAAACATGTCTGCCCTCACCTCTTTTCTTCCCTTTCCCAATAAGTATATCCTTGAGGACCTTGCTTTTAGGCCTCAACTCCCAGGTTTTATACCAAGATCTCTGTTTTGTAATTCCAGCCACCATATACAGGCTCTGAAATCTATCTCTACCCTTCACACCTATGTTTCGAGTCTTCTCATATTTAGCAACATTATATGGCTGCCAAATTACCAGTACCATGTTGAGAAAAAGCCAGAAAAAAATTTAAGCACCAACCCCCGCTCCCCCCCCCCCGGGATACTCAATATTTGCCATTCCTTATTAGTGTTTTTTTGGTCCTTAGCTCCACCATCTAAGAAAGCTGTGGGAGTACTTGATGAGAGCTTACTAGATAGCCAAGAAGACAATTTGAAGGTTATAGAATTTATGGATAAAGCAGAAATTGCCTTTTCCTGAGAAAGAGAAAGCTGATAAGACATTACATGGTTCTGAGTATATATGAAAAATTGTACTGAAACTGGCAAGTCACTTTTCTTCATCCCCAGTTGGGGGCTGAGGAGGGAGTTATTAAAGTTTTTGGCTACTTACAGCAGCACATAGCCAAATGAGTACCTTAAAAAGACCTAGAAGTCCAGAGAGGTTAATTTCCCTCCATTCACTGTTGTGGTTGGCACCACACTCTGGCTTTGTCACTAGATAACATCTACTACCTTGGCGAGGTAAAATACAGACTGAATTACATTCCATAAAATGTATGGATAGAAAATCTTACATTATATATATATTTTATCAGATTAAGAAATGCTTTACCAAAACCAAAACATTTGAAATGCTGGAAACGTACAAGTTGGGCAGGTTAGGTTATTAAGATAAAGACCTATCCTGGCAAGTGTGGCTCAGTTGATTAGAGCATTGTCCTGTACACTGAAAAGTCGTAGGTTTGATTCCTGGTTAGAGTAAATAACCAGGTTCAAACCCCTGGCAGGGGGCATACAGAAGGCAATTGATCAATGTTTCTCTTTCATGTTAATGTTTCTCTCTCTCTCCCCCCTCCCTCTTCTCTCCTCTCTCTCTCTGAAAAAAACAAAAACAAAAAACATGAACTCAGGTGAGGACTAAAAAAATTAAAAAGATTGATATAATTTTTAAAAAAGATAAAGAGACCTATTTAATGTATGTTTTGGTTTACTAAATATGGACTGGCAATAGAAAAGTTCTGAACCAACTAAGCTCCTGTGGTAAGGAAAAATTTCCTTGTAGAGAGAGCCACCATCACCAAAGAGGATGGTAGGAATGGTTCCTTTCTCTGAAAGTCAAACACCAGTTGAGAGACTTAGAAATGAGAAAATTAATTTTTTTAAATTATTAATAAAAACAATTTACTGAGCCTATTTTGGGCCAGGCACTGTGCTCAGTACTCATATATGTGCTATGCTATCTAACCCTCCACAACAGACCCCATAAAGAATGTGGCTGTGTGGGTGGGTGGGTGGGTGGGTGTGTGTGTGTTGTTCTTAATCCTCACCTGAGGATATTTTTTCCACTGATTTTGTTTAGAGAGAGTGAAGTGGAGGGAAGGAGAGAGGGAAGGAGAGGGAGGAGAGAGAGAGAGAGAGAAATGAAGTGAGAGACACATAATTGATTATGTGCCCCAACCAGAGCTGGGAATCAAAACTGAAACCCAAGTACATGCCTTTGACAGGAAATCAAACCTGAGACCCTTTAGTGCACAGGCTGACACTCTAACCACTGAGAATCACTGGCCAGGGCTATTACTGTTTGTTTTTTTGGTGTTTTTTGTTTGTTTGTTTGTTTGGTTTGTTTTGTTTGGTTTTTGGGGGTTATTTCTATTTTTACTGGTATAAAAATGAGTGTTCAGAAAGGCACAACTTTATTAAGATCACAATGCCAGTATTAGCTGAAACCAGGTTTTGAGAAGAGCTCCAATTCCACAGCCCATGGTTTTTCTACTGCAAAATGCTAATTTGCATGCAGCCCAGCCTGGACTCAGAGAGGGCTGGGTAATCTCACACTTCCCAGTTCACAGAGTACCTTTTCTTTTGTGAATATATTTGATGTAGTCTTTCATCAATACATGACATTCATAGCTTCTGGGATTAAACTCAAAATTCAGTTTTCTAAAGAAAAAAACAGAAAGTAGCCTTTGCAAACAGTACAAAACCACTTACCACTCCAGAGAGTTCTCCAGCCATGATGTGCATTTTAACAAACACATGAATTAAAAGTACCAATGAAAATATATACATATCAACGTTAAAGCAATCTCTCTTCATTACCCAGTCAGTGTCTTGACCCCATAAATCTATGGTAACATTTATAGAGCACCTACTGCACCCAAGGTCATAATCTGAATACTGTGTAAGAACACTAAAAGATTAGAATTTATATTCCTTGATTCCAAGAACTTGTAATTTTAGTATCAGAGGCAAGACTAACGTGAAAGACACTGAAGAATAAAGATGACATGCAAACATTATAAATGTGCATTTTAACTGACATAATACAAACAGAATACTGATATGCTAAAGAAATAAAGAATTTATATGTGCCTAGGGAAGCTAGAAGTGTATTTAGACACTGTTTAGGTAGCCAATAAAAGACTGTGAAGATAGCCGAAACCGGTTTGGCTCAGTGGATAGAGTGTCGGCCTGCGGACTGAAAGGTCCCAGGTTCAATTCCAGCCAAGGGCATGTACCTTGGTTGCAGGCACATCATCAGTGGGAGTATGCAAGAGGCAGCTGATCGATGCTCTCTCATCGATGTTTCTAACTCTCTATCCCTCTCTCTTCTTCTCTGTAAAACTCAATAAAATATATTTAAATATATATATATATATATATATATATATATATATATATATATACTATAAAAAAGACTGTGAAGATAAGAAGTACCAAGTATCAGACATCCTTGAATAATCAATAAGGACTTATTCTTAGGTTCATTTTTAAATACTACCAAAATTCCAAACACTACAAAAGGCAGTGTATATCAAGGAATGAAGTAATTAACACAAAAGGTTAAAGTAGTTATAATACATTTAAATTTTTAAACCAATATCAATACCAAGGCTCCTTCCTTTTCTTGTTAACACTTTCTCTAACACCACCTTTTCTCAGTTATTCTTGACCAGAGTTGGGAGCAACTAAATCAAGACAAAAACTAGCATCATGAATATGCCCATGTTCCACAACGCATAAAAGCTATACCAGCAAAGGCAAGGCCATCCCGGAGGGACAAAATAAGGAAAGGGGAATATAAATAATGCCCAATGATAAATAAGGAAAAGTATATTTTCTAAAAACCAGAGGCCATAACTGAGGGCTTGTTTTAAAATGGGTAAAGAACACAAACTCTGTCATGGCTAGTTTTATATTCACTATGATTTGTTCTGGGAGTCATGTTCCTACGGTTTCAGATTAAATACAAGCACACAGTCCTTCGGTGCACATCAGACGCTTTGACTGTTACACCGCTTATTTTTTAATCCAATACAATAGTAATAAACTGAGTCGATGCAGACTCAATCATGTCCCCCACGTCAGGGCCCCTCTGTCACTCTTGAAGTATCCCAAGGCAGCTCTGAGATACAGAATCTTCACTCAATTTCTTGTCCTTCTCATTTTAATCCATTCAAAACTCCTCTGATAAAAGAGCAACTGCCAGACCTGAGACACTTTAGTCCCCCTTTGGGGAAATGAAATTGATTTTCTTCATTTTCCCACAAGAGGATCCCTGGATAACAATATTGTGTCTGGTCATACTATAATAAAAAATAATTAAAAAGTAGGCAACATTCTTTACTATACCAGAGGCTAAAAAGTTCTGTGAGTTCCGGTGACAGAAGTAAGAATTCAGCCTGATTTTGACAAATCATGCATTTAATAAGTATAACTGACCAAGAGAGTAAGTGCTGTTGGAATCCACCTGGAATCCAATCAGCTACATGGAAGGTCAATTGAGGTGACAGGTGAGAGTGAGGAGGGAATTGGGGAAGGGGTCAGCTCCACATTCTCCTTAGTTAACGCCTTCAATATCCCTTCCCTTCTCTTCTTGCCTCACCACACCAAATGAACCTGCCTTTGATCCTTTGACTGTAAGGTAAAGAATATCTGAAGGCAATTTCCAAGGGGAAAATTATAACAGAAACAACACAATTTGGAGATCCTTTAATCACCTTTCTTAACTCCCAATTTAATTATTCACTTAGGTTTTACAGAATTTCATAAAGAAAGCTTAAAATATGGGTTATACCTAAACAATACTTTTTAAGACAAACTAACATGGGATTAAAACACATCACAACAATACAAGCTAAGGAGCTCTGAGCCTGGAGCCCCACCAGCTGAGCCTCCCTCGCCCCAAGCCCAACCCCACTAGAAACATTGGCTCTGTCAAATTCTACGGATATTCACAGACTTGGAAAAAGAACTCAGATATTCAGAATATGCACAATGACATCAAAAAAGCTCCTCATGCCCTGAGGACTGCCAGAGAAGTCTCCAGAAACACTCTCCTGGCTACTGTGGGGAAAATGTACCGCTTAACAATAACTGCTTTCAAGGTACAGCATGCAGTTCAGAAAGTATTTCTACTCCTCAGTGTTCCTGTCCCTTTATGTTCCTTTACATGTGTACTACATAAAAACAGTACAAAACACTTTGGATAAACAGTGGCACAGCACACTCTAAATATTAAATGCCTAATTTTCCATAGTTTCTCTAAGTTTTTGCTGAGATGTATGTTAGCTGATACTCTGAAAAACTCTTCTGTGAAACCAAAAATGTAATCTGTTTCTTGTCAAAGCCCAAATCTCCTTAAATAAACATCAAAGTCATTTATTATACATGAGAACTAACCTGCAAACACGGGCTGGAAAATATAACTTTTGCCAAGAACGACACAGATACTGTGAATGATCAATCACTCTGATCCAATCAAGTTCATCCATGGACACTTCAATGAAGTAGGAATAAGACCTATGAGTCAAAAGGAAAAAGGCAGAAAAAAGGATCATATTAAAATAACAATACAGGCGACAAGAGCAAGATGGAGAAGTCAATATGGGGAGGGGGGAGGAAGATGTTTATAATACTTTCAACAATAAAGTTAAAATTTTTAAAAATTAAATTAAAATTAATAATTAAAAAATAAAATAACAATACAGTTATCTATATATATAACAGCCTAGGCAACCGTTTGACTGTTCAACTATTAGCTATGACGCATAATGACCACCAGGGGCAGACACTCAATGCACAAGCATGGAAACATAGAACAGACTGATGAATCTCAGAGGAAAGGAGGGAGGGAGAGGACGAGAAGAGATTAACCAAGATCTTCTATGCATACTAGAGGCCCAGTGCATGGATTCATGTACCGGTGGGATCCTCAGCCTGCCTTGCACCTTCTCGCAAATCTGGGACCCTTCAGATTCAAAACTGCTGGTTTCACCCTGATTTCTACAGACCAAGCCGAGGGACCCCACTGGTGCACAAATCTGTGCACCGGGCCTCTAGTACTTTAATAAAACATTAACAGTCACACACACACACAAAACAAAACAAAACAAAAAAACAACCACACACTTCACAAATTACGTTTTCTACATAATAATCAAATGTGGATAATGATGAAATCTAGAGAAATCCCCTAATATAGCATTCACCACAATGTACTACAATACTCTCTCAACACATATGTCTACTTTGGTAGATCTCAGCTGCTTAAGAATAAAGATTATGGCATATGTATTTTCATATACCCAGGCTTTAACATAGTGCTAGTCACAAAGGCATGGAAGACATTTGTTCCTTTTCAAACAGGGCCAGGATGGCTTCCTCACACCATATTAGCAGATTAATAAGGCCACGACAAAGGCAGGACAGAACATAGAAGCAGATGTGCCTTCTCCTTCCACCTTCCCGGCCTGGGAGCTCAGCCCTACACTCTCAGGAGGAAAGCCAACTGGAGTGGTTCCCCACAGAGGCCAGCTGATTTCCCACTCCCTCCCAGCCTCCCTCCAGCCCACACAAACATGCAGCCAGCGGCAAAATAAATGACCTGGGTGAAGAGATAATAGATGTTTCTTTTAGGTACAACTTAAAATTTGGCAGCTAATAACCTGGCAGTAATGAAAATAAGTCTACCACCCTGCCTTAGTCAGCTACACCAAACCACTGCGTGCTGATCCCAGATTGAACAAATCTATATTCCCCTGTCATGAGCCAAATTTAAATTTGAGATGCAGTTATTACTTGTTCTGTAATATCAACAGGAACAATCTCAGAAGATTTAGGAGACCATAAATGTCAGCCTGCAACCAACAGTTGTGACCGGAAAAGGTCAGCTTATTTTGTCATCCCTCATTTTCTGCTGTCTTCTCCCTCCCATTCATTTTATCGCTCAGTCTCAAACTGGTTGTAACCTTTTACTGAACCTCTCTGGGTTATCAGAAATGCAGGATATAATTTTACAACACATGTTAGAATCTTTTTTGGTTAAGATTCTGAATTTTTCACCTTTGCTTAGTTGGTAACAACTTTTGCAAGAAAAGAATGGCTATGTGGTAAAGTTAAGCCCCTGTGAATGTGACACATATAGTAAAACAAGGTGGTCTACAAATATTTAACATCCTGGAAACAATAATAACTACGTTCAGTTTCAGCATACTAACCTTTTATTTTATTATTTTTATACCAAGTCCATTACTAATTAAATGAGAATATGTAAAACTTTTATAACAGTGCCTACTACATAAAAGTAATGAAAGTGCTATATATTATTATTGTACTACTAGAGGCCCAGTGCACAAAATTCATGCACGGGGTAGGGGGGTGTCCATTCAGGCCCAATCCCAGTCAGTCAGACATCCCTCTCACAATCCAAGACTGCTGGCTCCCAACTGTTCGCCTGCCTTCCTGATTGCCCCTAACCACTTCTGCCTGCCAGCCTGATCATCCCCTAACCACTCCCTTGCCAGCCTGATTGATGCCTAACTGCTCCCCTGCAGGCCTAGTCACCCCTGCCTTCCCTTGCAGGCCTGGGTCCCTCCCAACTGGCCTTCCCTGAAGATCTGGTTGCCCCCAACTTCTCTCCTCTGCCAGCTTGGTCACCTATAACTACCCTCCCCTGCAGGCTTGATCACCCACAACTGCCCTCCTTTGCAAGCCTGGTCCCTCCCAACTGCCCTCCCCTGCTGGCCATCTTGTGGTGGCCATCTTGTGTCCACATGGGGACAGGATCTTTGACCACATGGGGGCAACCATATTGTGTGTTGGAATGATGGTCAATCTGCATATTACTCTTTTATTAGATAGGATAAAGGCCTGGTGCATGAGTGGGGGCCAGCTGGTTTGCCTGAAGGGTGGCCCATATCAGGGTGAGGGCTCCCTTGGGGTGTGGGGTTGCCTGGGCGGGCCATTCCCCCCCCACCCCAGCAACCCAAGCGGAGGCCCTAGTATCTGGGGTTTATCTTATACAATTGAAACTTTGTACCTGGCATGGAGCCAAGCCATTTCTGTTGGGATTTATGTATCTTCTATAATTGAAACTTTGTAACCTTAAGCAGAGACCTGGACCAGCTAGGGTGTGTGGAAAGCTTGGCTTTCTCCATTGCCAGGGGAAACGCTAGCCTCCTCTTTCCAGCTCCATGGCTGCAGCCATTTCTGTTTGGATTTATGTATCTTCTTTCATTGAAACTTTGTAACCTTGAGTAAAAGCCTAGGCCGGCAAGGGCAGGCAAAAAGCTTGCCTTACTCCATTGCCGGGGAAACCCAAGTATCCCTCCTGCTCTCTGTGGCAGTAGCCATTTTGGTTGGGTTTATTTGCATATTTGCTCCTGATTGGCTTGTGGGTATGGCTTTTGGTGTAGTAGAGTTGTGGTTAATATAGGGTTTAGGTTAATGATAATCAGAAATGAGAGAGACAGTTCAGGTCTTGGTCACCCATACTGCTCTGGAACTTTGGCTATCATGGCTGAACCCTAGAAACCACAGTGGGTAAAAGTATCAGAATGGCTAGAAGGAAGGCAGAACCTTGAAACTATTGCAAAACTAGGAGGATTCCTAGGCTAGAGTCCACCAATTTTTTTTTCACAAATTTATTTTGTTTTGCAGAGGATTTTTATTCACACACTAAAAAACATTTTTTCTTCATCCATAAGATAAAATGCATTTAATGTTATTGTTATAACATCCAAAAGTAAGGAATCAAGTAAATAATTAATGGGAAACACACAGATTAGAATACCTGATAACCATATAAAGTAACATTTTAGGAAAATATTTTTAAAGGAGAGAATATTCACAATGTATTCATTAAAAAGTGAAGTTAGCACAGCCAGTGTGGTTCAGTGGTTGAGTGTTGACCTGTGAACCAGGAGATCATAGTTAAATTCCCAGTCAGGGCACATGCCTGGAGTTGGAGGCTCAATTCCCAGTGGGGAGCAAGCAGGAGGTAGCCAATCCATGATTCTCTCTCATCATTGATGTTTCTATCTCTCCCTCTTCCTTCCTCTCCAAAATCAATAAAAATATATTTAAAAATATGTATGTACACAAATATATTTTTATGGATTTCAGAGAGTTAGAGGGAGAGAGAGATAGAAACATCAATGATGAGAGAATCATGGATTGGCTACCTCCTGCTTGCTCCCCCCTGAGAATTGAGCCTCCAATCCCAGGCATGTGCCCTTGACAGGAATCGAAAATGGGATCTTTCAGTTCTGTAGGCCCATACACTATTCACTGAGCCAAACCAGCTAGGGATATGTGTGTGTGTGTGTGTGTGTGTGTGTGTATGTATATATATATAATTTTTTTAAGTGAAGTTAGCTTTCTACACATCTAATTTCTATTTTGTAAACTATATGTGATTTCATTGGTTTGTTTTGTGTATGTATGAGATATACTATGCATAACAAAAAATGATTAGATATATACAGATTAATAATGGGTGGTGAGATTACTAGAAATTTTTCTTTGTGATTTTCTATGTTCTATGGTTTTGTGTCTTTTTTAATATATTAGTTATCTAATCCGGTTCTTATAAGAAATTCAGAACACCAGTTTGTGAGGATAAAGCCCCATTGGTGAGAGCAAACAGAGAGCAGAGGTAGCCCTGGAGCTGAGGAACAGTTAGTTTTTTGGCAGAATTTGTGAGTCCACAGCTTTCTGGTCAACCTTGCACTGCTCTATGATCTCATATTTCTCTTTCTCTGTGTCGAAGAGTGTTGGCCTATGAACCAAAAGATCATAGTTCGATTCCCAATCAGGGCTTGCGCAGCTTCTTCTTGAAGTAAGCATCAGTGAGATGTTTGGGGATTTACACACCACTGATATAAATTCTGGTGGAAGTGACAATGACAAGTTTCTGGTGTGTTCTACACAGAGGAACTCGATTGAGGGCCAGAGGTCCAGGCACAAGTAGCAAGCCACTGCTCAGCTGCTTCAGGAAAACCACCCTCTTGCCTCTGTGGCACCCAATGAGGATGATCAGAATGGTCCCAGGAGGGATGCTGGCCCACAGTTTCTCCAGACGCTGACTGAAGGGTTTCTTGCCATGGCTCAACAGCTTTTGAGGCACATCTTCAGTAGGATAATATCCGCATTTTGCGGACTTTAACCACGGGGGTACCACCATTCTTGCCTCGACCACCTGGTTTTTGACAATAGCAAGAACTTTCTCCTTCTTTTTCTTCTCAATCCTGTATTTAGCTGCTGAATACTTCCTCTTGTACATGGCCTTTCTCGAATACATAGCCGACCAGGAATATCTGCCAATTCCTGGGAAGAGGATGGGGTTTCAGCTGCAGTGGGGCTTCCCTTTATTAGGCGCCTTAACCTTGCTGCCAGCACCAGCCGTCTTGGCTTCAGGTTTCTTCTCCTTAGTATCAGGCTTCTTCTTCTTAATATCCAGCTTCTCAGTTTTCTTTTCACCTGCCATCTAGCTAGATGGTAAAGAGAACTAAGGTCTATGTTCCATGTTTTCCACAAAAAAAAAAAATATCCATTACTTCGATAAGCAGAAAAAGAAAGAAAAAAATCTTGTTGCTTTTTTTTTTTTTTTTTTTTTTAAGGAATAAACTCTTCAACCCTTTCCTCAGAACAAAACTTCAAGAGAAATAGCCAAGTAACCACAAAGAAATATGTCATCAAATCTGTAAAATCAAAGCAGATGACCACACAGGTCATCTCACTCAAACACAACATTTGTTTCTCTCCAAATCAAACAGACTCACCGGCTATCTCGATCCCACAGGAGAATCCGTATGTGATTGATAATAGATGGCTGACCTAGCTTAATTTCAATGCCAGAACGACAGTCGTCATCTATTGGATGTCTGGAAAATCCATGGTCCAAATCATAATTTTGAGTATCACCATCTAGTAAGGCAGATTTCAGCTCCCCTTTAACAACCTGGGCTCCATACTTCATAGTTGCAATGTTTTCTTCTGGTACTACAGTTAAAAATACAAAAAAGGCAAAGTTAATAGTTATCAAATTACTCTATAACTTGGGGGAAAAAATCAAATTCTAGGATTCCAGTATGTATATTTAATTTAAAATGGCAGAGAGAAGCCTATGAAAATAGAAGATATGCAATGTCTATGAGGATTAAATTGAAAAACACCATCACAGCCACAAAGTGTTTGGGACTAACGTTATTAAGGAAAAGTTGGTAATACTAAAAAAAAAAAATACATGTACTAGCTAGCACAAACAAATCAGCTCTGCTGAGTTCCTTCTATTAGCAGTTTCAACACAGGTTGAGAGCCGCTGCTGTGGAGCCTAAGACCATTGGAAAACATAGATATTTACATTACAATTCATAACAATAGCAAAATTACAGTTATGAAGTTGCATCAAAAATAATTTTATGGTTGGCGGTCACCACAATGTGAGGAACTGTATTAAAGGATCACAGCATTAAAAAGGTTGACTATACTAGACAAAAACAGCATCTTAGACAAGCATGTCAAACTCATGGCCCATGGGCCACATGCAGTCCACAATGAATATTTTTGCAGCCCAGCCACTATAACGGTATGTAAAAAACATTTAAATAAAACTTTTGTAACTTAATTTTTACAATATCCTGTTACATATAATCATTAATAACAAACTATAATGTTCGCTAATGACTAATTACTATAATCGTATTGCTTTCATTTCCTTTAAGTGCTTTACGCGCAGGCACACCATTTCTATCTACTAATACTACTACTAGCAGCAAATATTTTAGCAGTCGATTGCCAGGTCATTAGTCTTGGACAACTTGTTTGGTGTGCACACAGAATATATTTTGCTTTTGGAGAACAAGAAAAATAGGTCTATTTGTGTTAAGCTTATTGATTTCTGTAGTTATTCGATGTCTGATAAGTTAATGTTCAAGAAAAAAATATTAATTTTTATTAAAATGTCCTATTATTTTATGTTAACAATTACTCAATTATTTCAGCCCTTTGTATCCGGCATGTCTCAATCAAAATAAACCTACATTTCTATGAAAATTGAAGCTTTTTTGCAGCCCACATAAATAGACATTGTTTATTTGACCCATGTTAGCCTTTGAGTTTGATATGCTTGATGTAAGATAACCTATACTTGCCATCTGGACTGAGCACAATGTAGTAAGCAGAGCAGACAAGTCAGACATCTGAATAAATAACAGGAAAAGAGAGGTTCCAATACACCAGAGCTATTGGTCATATATGGATGAGCTAAATCAACCAATCTAGCTAAAAAACAAAAATATGTCTAAAAGAAAAGATATTTTTCTTCAGTTGAGTATTTTTAAAAATGAAAACTCAGTCTGTCATCAAAGTCAGTATTGTGGTTTTAATTAAACACTCGCCACTTTCCAACAGTAGATTTACTAAGTGTCCACTGTCCTTGGGACTCTGAAGACCTCTATGCACACTTGGCTTCACAGATCTGGAACCCAGCCTCCAGGTACTAATATTCTAACACTGACACTCCCCATGGAGAGACCTGAGGTAGCATAAAGTAGATGTCTTGAGCTTCAAAGTCCGTTTAAATAGTGGGGCTCTACCTTTCACCGAGTGTATCACTTTTGGGAAGTTACCTTCTCTGAACTTAAATTTCTCCATAGAGCAGTATCTATCCCCAAGGTGTTCCCATTTTTTGTTTTTGTTTCAAGAATTAAGTGAGATGATGTTTGCAGAGTGCATAGTAAACTCTAAGAAGAGACTGCTATACTTATTATGAGCCATATTTTTAAAGCAACAATAAGAGAACTAAGCAAGTTTACATACAGTAAATAGTGATTTGAACAGACTCAAATATGAGCCATAACTGGGCTCTTAGGGAAAGGGGTTAATTCATTATTGTGGATCACTTGGAAAATGTGGAGTTTAAAATTTTTTTTCAAATGAAGATGGGTAAGAGAATGACTTTGGGAGACACTAAGTACAACTGGAATGCAATTAGGATGGGTTTGTTCAACTTGCAAAGACTAAGGCAACTCAGACAAAAAACCTAGTCCTGGCTCAACTTTTTACCACCAGAAGCTTAAGTGCATCCTATTGATAACTTCTTAAATTCTGTTAGCTCATGGTAATCATACATATTCTTCATTTTTATTATTAATTCCTTTGACTTACTTCTCATCAAAATCCTTTGAGGTATAATATTACTACTACAGCCATTTCGCAGATGGGTAAGTGTGGGCAGGAGAAAGATTACGTAGATGAACTTTCTTGACCGAGGTCACACAGCTAGCCAGTATCAGAGCCCCAATGACAGCCATGCAGTCTGTCTCCAGGGGCCCTGCTCTGATACCTCCTTCATGAATGGTTTTTTATATGAAGGACATACTTATCCCCTCTTTCTAATCCCTTCCCTCTTAGATGATCTAAAACCCAGAGGAAAGAAGCAGCATGATATATTTTTTAAAAGTTAGACTTAAAGCAAGAAAACCTAACATTGAGACTCAGGCTCTCCCTGAAGTTTCTTGGTCTCTGTGAATCTGTTTTCTCATCTAAAAATAACACTTTGCCCAACCACCCACAGGATTACTGTAAAGGTCATGCTACAAATAATACATGCTAAAGTACTGTATAAGTCACAAAACGTTTACTGTGGACTTGTTCTGCACCCCATACCATGTGAAGGTCTAGGACTAGCTCAGTGAACTAGACAGAAAAGCCGACTCCTGATGTCTCCAATCTAGAGATGAAGCACTTTATAAAGCAAGCAAACAAACAAAAGTTCCAAATTTGTGCTTTTCAAATATCAATGATGTGTAAATACCTAGTAAGAAGAAACCTGAATAATCCCTTTCTGCTGGGCATGAGAGGTAGTCCAAAATCTGCAGCTACCCACCACTGAAACCATTTCCTCGAGTTCTGACACCACTATCAGGGCCAAGACAACAAAAGGAGGAACTTGAACTTTCAGATTCAGAAACTGCATTATCCTTATATTTTCTCTAAACATAAGTTTCTTCACTTATCAAGCTAGAAATAACATACTAGGCATAGGAATTTCAAGTGACTATAATGAAAGGTCTAAAATTGAAATGAAACTTCTACCAGAAGTTTAAGTTGTCTTTTGAAGTTTATTTCAAGAGTACTTGAGAACTTTTCTGTTTTTTATACAGATTCTCCAAAAGTATCTTTCACTTCAAAACAGGCAACATTTACACAGTAGCAATTCTTTCATGGTAACTATAATCTGAGTACCTCACAGGATAAAAATACAAAATCTATATAGCTAAATGATAAATTTAACACAAAAGGTAAACATGAGAAAAAATCATAATAAAATAATTCAATCCATAAATATTCTTATTTTTTATATTTGTCTATCAGTAGAGAAAAAAGAGCTCTCAAAAATACAGGATGAGGGATTAAAGGAGCTAGTGTCCCCTCAGGAGTTCGACTGGGAGACTAGGAGTTTGCTCGCTATGATGTGCACTGACCACCAGGGAGTGGCAAGGAATGAAGGGAGACTCCATCTGGGTAAGGGAGGCCCCGGCCGGCAGCCAGAAGGCCCCAACTGGCCCTGATCCCTGGCCAGGCCTAGGGACTCTACCCATGCATGAATTTTGTATACAAGGCCTCTAGTGGAAACATATAAGAGCTAAAAAGGACCTTCATCCTACTGATTTAAAGGGGGGGAAATGCTGGACTCAGCCTTCTAGCAATTCACCACTAAACAGAAAAATAATCTTAGGAACAGTTCTGAAACTTTAGACCCTTTTTTTCCCTAGCAATAAAGAAATGTGTTGAAAGAAATAATGATATAAATGTTTGGACAACATTTATTTAGAAAATAGCTAACATTTTTTAGAATCTGATGGGAAAGTGACATGCTTTCTTAGTAGTTATATTATTGATTTTACTATTCATTTAACTTAAAAGTCAGAAAAACAGGCTGCTACTTAAACATTTCTCAAATTTAGAAGTTAGATAGAAGATTCCCAAACATTTGTATAATCTCTTCCTTGAGTTCCCACTGAATTATTCCAAAATAAAAAGCTAACATTAAAGAGGAATAATTGCATATGTCCATTCTTGAACCAAGTAGCCCTTAACTGGTTGAATTACTCCCTTTCATGGTAATTTCATTGGTTTATTACAACCCAGGTCTGACAACTATACTGAGCAGCTGATCAATTCCAAGCTATCAATAGTTATGTGAAATGTCCAGAGCACTTCCATATGCCCGCAACAATGTCTGAAGCCACCCCTATAACGAACCCAGATACGGGACTCTATCAGCACCTCAAATCAAAACTAGGGCAAGACTGGTTTGGCTCAGTATATAGAGCACTGGCCTGCAGACTCAAGAGTCCCAGGTTCGATTCTGAGGGCATGTACCTTGGCTGCAGGCACATCCCCAGTAGGGGGTGTGCAGGAGGCAGCTGACCGATGTTTCTTTCTCATTGGTGTTTCTAACTATCACTCTCCCTTCTCCTCTATAAAAAAATCAATAAAGATACACACACACACACACACACACATATATATGGATATATATATCCATATATATCCATACATATTAGTATATGGATGGATATATATATATATATATATATATATCCATATATATTAGTATACACACATTCTAGAGCAAGAAGGGAAAAAGGAGCTTATATAAAAGGATCTAACAATGAGAGTTCAGAAAGTCTAAAATTAGGCCCTGGCCAGGTAGCTCAGTTGGTTAGAGCCTCATCCCTATATGCCAAGGTTCCAAGTTCCATATCCGGTCAGGGCACATATAAGAATCAACCAATGAATGCATAAATAAGTGGAACAACAAATATCTTCCTATCTCCCTCCCTTCTTCCCCTCTCACTTTCTCCCTCCTTCTCTCCCTCTTTTACTCTCTCTCTAAATCAATAAAATAAAATAATATTACTTATCTTGTTACCCTCCCCCTCCCATCCTCCCAATACCTTATCTAGTACCATTCTCTAGCACCTCCAAATCCCTTATTGGATCTCTCCAAACCTATTCCCTGCAGCTACCATACTATTTCTCAACTATCTTTCACTTCAATTCATACAGCAGATAGTCAATACATTGCTTTTATTTATTAACCTGTTAACTGGGGAGTTCCCTTTTTAATTATGCAACGTACAACGGGCGCATACTCTTTCACTAGGACATGTCAGTAAGTCACGTCCAGTGGACATAATTTTATATTATTATTTTATTTATTTATACTTAATTAAAATAAATGAAATATATATATTTTTTGTTTATTTATATATAAAGCACAAAGGAAAATACAAAATTACAAATAAATAGAAAAGAATACCAACAAAAAAATGGAAACATTGAATTAAAAAATTATAAATTTTACAAACAATTATAAAGATTATAAAAAATATATACCGTCCCTCTCAGGGCACAACATATATTTCAAGGACGTATTCATAAGTCCTACCCGTTCCCAATATTGTTTACATTTGACATATTTATAGGTCCCGCTCGGTTAACAGGTTAAGAAAAAGCATCACATAAGTGGTGGAAATGCTACATACATGTTTAGATATTATTGTTATTTAGAATCTGTATGTTCATGCTGCCTAAAATAATGAGCACATAGCATGTAGTTAGCATTGATTTGATGGAGAAAGGAGGAAAAATTTTGAGGAAAGTATCTATTTCTTACACTCTATGGAATAGCTGGAGAAATTTGTCCAAGGATGGCAAAAAATACTATTTGGAAATCTACAATGGCTATGCAATCTCCATAGGACTACAAGAAGTAGAGCTATATGTTCTTAGACCTGTATGTTCCATATATACCTACATTATAGTTTCATAGCTGAGACTGTCACACAATGCAAACAAAACTTTTGGTGAGATTAGGATGAACAGGTACTTACTGAGCATGCCTCTGTAATTGAGGTCCATATCCCGGCTCTCTGATCGAACTTTAATAGCATCCAGAATGGCATCAGGAGACAGCAGTCCCGAAGGCCTCACAACATTGAGCAGTTCGGTGAGGCTCATCAGAGGCAAACGCACAGCCTGCATGATTTCTGCATGATTCTCCTTTGAATTGTGCTTACACCAATTAAACAAGGCTAGGAAAATATCTTTTTCAGGAGCTGCAAATGAGTCTCTTAATACGATGTTTAGAAGTGCTGTCTGAAAAGGATAACAAGAACAAATTCCAGTTATTATGGAGCTCAACCATGTGCGGTATCCAACAGAACTGCGTATCATTATATGTAAACAATTAACTCTCTTTGACAATCTTCTCTCCATATTCTGTGCCATGTACTCTCCTGCACATGGCTGTGTGACTAGCTGTAGGCATCTTATACTACTACTTCAAACATCCAGTGTTTCCTACATATCTGCATCCATCTTTTAATAAAACAAGAAGAAAAACAGCAACATGAGGAGCTGACTTTCCATACATGTTCTTCAGAAGAGTTTACCTTTATGGGTCAGTAAGATACATATAGCGTTTAAAATTCAAAATCTTTCCCTTCACAGTATTACTGTGCTATCATTATTTTTGGTTCTCAGATTTTCAGACCCCCAGCAACACTGGTGCAGCCCTCAAAGACCTTGTCTCTAAAAATAAAGTAGGATAATAAAAATTATAGTTTAAACTCAAAACAAGATGTGTAGCTTTTCAAATAAGTTTTATCATTCAAAATATTCAGGTCCTAGGAGAAACACTGAAAGAGAAAAGAGAGACAACCACCAAGGCTCAGAAAAAGGTTTGAGCAAAAGTTTTACTCTAGCTATTATTCAGTTTAAAGCACCATTAACGGTGAATTTTGAGCCGGGGGGGGGGGGGGGGCGCAGGGGGGCACTAATTTAGAGACATATAGCAAGAGATCTCCCTTATGAATTTTCCCTCTCATAATATGGAATTATTATCTTTATCAAAGAAATACAAGTTCAAAAAGCAGTATGCAAGACCACATTGAAAACAACCACCTAGCATCAAAGTCTCTTCTGCACTTGGAATTTACCAAAAGAACCTTAAGAGAAAACAGAAGCAATCTGTCCTTCTCTTATATGATCTAGAGTCTCAGGAGCCACAGGCAGTTGGTTGGACCTCTTCCACACCTCTGACTTTTATTTTTTCTTAGTCCATTGCTGCGTTTCTACTGTACAGATATAAATAAGACCATGCATGACTGCAAGTTACTTGCAGACAATGACACACCTTAGAAAGAGAGAGGAAGCCTTCACTCGAGAGCACCTCCTGAGCATTTCTGTCCATAAACATGCAGCACATGCAAGTTAACTTGGGCAGTGAGTAGAGACTGGCCACGTCAAAAGTCATACAGACATTCTGAATGTTGAGTATGGTGCAGAGATACTCAGAGGTAGAATCCTCCAGCTCTGGAAATCCATATTTATGAGCCAGGCTCAGAAAGTCCAGCAGCACCTCCTCCTTCTCATCTGTCAGTGTCGCCCGCCCAGTGTAGATGTACTTGAGTAGCATGGTGAAGGCTTCCGCAGTGGTGTCCTGGAGGGGGATTTCTGCTTCTGGCTGAGATTCTCGCATTCCACCATACAGCAATGCTCTGCACGTCAGAGAAAAAATGCACGAGAAAAACCTCAAGTAAGATTGCTACAAAATCATGAAATCACAGGCATCAACATTATACAAACATAAATTTGTTTAATGACATAAAGATTCAGGTAAAGAAATGCTTAGTTATCATTTGAAGTTCTCAAAGAAACTAAGAGAAATACCTTTAAAACTATTTTGAATTAATTCTATAAACAAGTGAAATAATGAAATATCCTGAAAACTCAACATATGGAATAGACATTCATTAAAAATAGACAGATAGCCGAAACCGGTTTGGCTCAGTGGTAGAGCGTCGGTATGTGGACTGAAAGGTCCCAGGTTCGATTCCAGTCAAGGGCATGTACATTGGTTGCGGGCACATCCCAGGTGGGGGGGTGTGTAAGAGGCAGCTGGTTGATGTTTCTCTCTCATCGATGTTTCTAGCTCCCTATCTCTCTCCCTTCCTCTCTGTAAAAAAAATCAATAAAATATATTTTTTTAAAATAGACAGATAAAAATGCTCTTTTTGCCCTGGCTGGTTTGACTCTGTGGTTAGAGCATCGACCTGTGGACAGAAGATTCCCAGGTTCAATTCCAGTCAAGGGCGCATGCCTGGGTTGTGGGCTCGGATGTACAGGAGGAAGCCAATCAATGATTCTCTCTTATCACTGATGTTTCTCTCTCTCTCCCTCCCTCTCTGACTGAAATCAATAAAAAATAAAAAATAATTTAAAAAAAAAATGCTGTTTTGAGAGGAACAGAGAAACAATATAAACATGTTAAAGACCAATAAAACCATTTAAAAAGCAAAACTCCATAGTGATTAGAGTGTTGGTCCAAGGACCTAAATGTCACAGGCTTGATTCCAGGTCAAGGGCACAAACTGGATTGCAGGTTCAATTCCTGGTCCTGGTCGGGCCAGACAACCAAGCAATGTGTCTCTCTCATATCAATTTTTTCCTCTCCTCTCCTCTCCCCTCCCCCCCTCCCCCTTCCTCATATCAATCTTTTCCTCTCCTCTCCTCTCCCCTCCCCCCCTCCCCCTTCCTCTCTCATATCAATTTTTTCCTCTCCTCTCCTCTCCCCTCCCCCCCTCTCCCTTCCCCTCCCCTCCCCTCCCCTCCACTCCTCTCCTCTCCTCTTCTTTCTCTCTCTTCCCATCCTCCCTCCCTCCCTTCCATTCTCTCTAAAGATAAATGGAGAAAATAACCTTGGTGAGAATTTAAAAAAAAAAAAAAAGTTAAACTCCTGCCGAAACCCGTTTGGCTTAGCGATAAAGCATCGGTCTGCGGACTGAAAGGTCCCAGGTTCAATTCCGGTCAAGGGCATGTACCTTGGTACTCCCTGGTAGTGGGTGTGCAAGAGGCAGCTGGTCGATGTTTCTCTCTCATCGACGTTTCTAGCTCTCTATCTCTCTCCCTTCCTCTCTGTAAAAAATCAATAAAATATGTTTAAAAAAAAAAAAAAGTTAAACTCCTAAGACCTGGCAACAGCCTAAGTGTCCATCAGTAGATGAATGGGTAAAAAGGTTGTGAGACATTTACACAATGGAATATTTTACAGCTGTAAAAAAGAGGGATCTCTTACCCTTTGGGACAGCATGGATGGACCTGGAAAATACTATGCTAAGTGAAATAAACTGAGAAAGACAAATATCACATGGTCTCACTTATTTGTGGAATCTAATAAACAAAATGAATTGACCAACAAAGTAAGACCTGAAGCATGGAGGAAAGGAACAGACTGACATATCCTTGATGTAGAGGTGGGGGAACAAGGAGAGATAAACCAAAGAACTTATATACTTACTAGTAGCCCTGCGCACAAATCCGTGCACCAGTAGCTCCCTGTGGAGCCTGGTGGCTCCGCGCCTGCTGTCCAGGGGCCCATCTGCAGCCTAGAGGTCCATCTGCAGTCAGGTGCGGAACGCTTGCCTTGTCACCATAGCGACGAGGCAAGCATTCTGCCAGGCCACTCATGCTGTCCTCTCTCAGCAGCCGCCTCTCCCCCCGCTCCCCGGACTGGGGGACTTTGGCAGGGCTGAAAGGACTAGGCATCACCATCTTGTGGCTATGGGTGCTGCCATCTTTTTGACAGAGTGACAGTTAATTTGCATCTTATCCTCTTATTAGATAGATAATATATGCATAGCCCTTGGACACTGGCAATAGAGTGGTGAAGACATTGGTGGGGGCAAGGAGGGGAAGGATAGGGGCTGGCTGGAGGGAGAAAAATGGGACACAATTATGTAGTACTTTTTAAAAATCCCCCTAGTAAAAAAGTTGAAGGAAACAAAAAAGTAAAACTATAGAAAAACACAACTAAACACAACCAGGTGCCATTCTTCCCTATTAGATTGACAAATTTAAAAACCTGTTAATATCCAGTGCTGCAAAGGCAATGTAAAAACAAGTTCTTTCATTCACTGCTTTGAGTATAAATAGGCACCCCTTTTTGGAAAGTAATATAAATCTAAAAGATGCATACCTTCAACTCAGTAATCTCACTTTTATTTTTTAATTTTTTAAAATATATTTTATTGATTTTTCACAGAGAGGAAGGGAGAAGGATAGATAGCTAGAAACATTGATGAGAGAGAATCATCATCGACCAGCTGGCTCCTGCACACCTCCTACCAGGGATGTGCCCGCAACCAATGTACATGCCCTTGACCAGAATCAACCTAGGACCTTTCAGTCCACGGACCGATGCTCTATCCACTGAGCCAAACTGGTTTCAGCAGTAATCTCACTTTTAGGATGCAGCTGGAGAGATTTACTACAACATGACTGTAAAGAGAAACTTATAAAAATAGATACTGAAACAATGGAGATAATGAAACAAATCTTAAAGTGTCCATCAACAGGAATGTGACTAAAAAAACTGTGATATATATACATTTGATGCAGCCATTAGAAAGACCAAAAGAGAGTAATATATACTGTTCGTAAAAATGTCCAGGAGATAGCAGTTATGTTGCAGATCAGATCCATGTGCTGAGTAAAAAAGTGTACAGCACATACTTTTATTTGTATGTACACAGGTGTATATATAAATACTAGAAGCCCAGTGCATGAAATTGTGCATTTTAGGGGGGGTCCCCCTCAACCCGGCCTGTGCCCTCCCGTGGTCCAGGTGCCCTTGGGGGATGTTGAGCATCTGCCCCGTGGTGGACATCATAGCGACCGGTTGTTCTGTCATTTGTTCAACTTGCATATTAGCCTTTTATTATATAGGACACCTATTTATATTAAGAAAAATCAGGGAAAATTCATATTAAACTATTAACAGTGGTTGTCTATGGGAAATGGGATTAGATGGCTTGGATGAAAGGGCTTTCATTGTTACTTTATAAATTAAAAATGAAATTGAGGTTGGTAATGGAATTATGGGTGATTTGATTTTTTTTGTCTTTCAGTATTTGTCAGATTTTTTTAAATCCCCACATTATTGCTTATCTCCTCATCTAAGAAATTAAAATTAGAAAATTCAGTCATGTAATGAATTTTAATTTCTACCTCTATTACTCTAGAGAAATAATAAGAACCAACTGAACTTTCACTCTATCAGAAAAGAAAGGGCAATCGGACGATGACAAAGGAGGAACACAGAAAAGGAAGAGTAGAGTGAAACAGGAAATGTGAAAATGAGAACAAGAGAATAGGGGGCAAAAAGAGATTCCCCCTGCTCCTAACACTCTCAGAGCAGGACTAGCATTTCAAGGGTTCTCTCCATACCTGCCAGGAACTCTTCTCACCCTCCCCCAGCATCCAGCATTCTTGCTTGGCTCAGGAAAATAGCTGAAATCATCCCACAAAAAAGTCATGAATATTCTGAGCATACCTCTTCATTGGGTTATACTCTGCCTAAAAACACTCTTGAATGTTTTCATTAATCCAGAGTAGATTCAACCACAAATTTAAAATTGCGAGATTAAAAACACCTTCCTTGGAAGATCTCACCAAGACTTACTCCAGTGTGACCCATGATATTCACATGGGTTCTCAATGCTTTCAAGGTGGCTTTAGCCTAGCTGGTGTAGCACAGTGGTTGAGTGTCCACCTATGAACCAGGAGATCACGATTCAATTCCCAGTCAGGGCACATGCCCGGGTTGTGGGCTCGATTCCCAGTGTGGGGCGTGCAGGAGGCAGTTTATCAGTAATTCTCTCTCATCATTGATGTTTCTATCTCCCTCTCTCTCTCTCCTCCCTCTCTGAAATAAATAAAAATCTTATCTATTAAAATAATAATATGCAAATTGACCATGCCTCCACTACACCCACAAGCCACGCCCATCAGTCACACCCACCAGCCAATCAGAGTGAGTATGCAAATTAACCCAAACCAAGATGGCTGCGGCCAGAGAGAGCAGGAGGGAGACTTGGGTTTCTCTAGCAATGGAAGAAGCCAAGCTTTCCTCCTGTCCTAGCTGCTCTAAGCCTCCACTCAAGGCTACATAGTTTCAATTATAGGAGGTAAACATCCAAACAGAAATGGCAGCAGCCACGGAGCAAGCAGAAGACTTGGCTCCACTCCAGGCTACAAAGTTTCAATTGTAGAAGATAAATAAACCCCATATACCAGGGCCTCCACTTGGGTCACCAGGAAGCGTGGCTGGTCTGCAAACCACCACAGGTCCCTCACCCAGGCTGCCCCATGCCCCAAGGGAACACCCACCCTGATCCAGGACACCCTTCAGGGCAAACTAGCTGGCCCCCACCCATGCACCAGGCCTCTATCCTGTCTAATGAAAGAATAATATACAGATTGACCATCACTCCAACACACAAGATCAAGATGGCTGCTCCCATGTGGTTAAAGATCCTGCTTCTATGTGAACACAAGATGGCCACCACAAGATGGCCAGCAGGGAAGGGCGGTTGGGAGGCACCAGGCCTGCAAGGGAGAGCAGTTGGGGGTGATCAACCTTGCAGGGGAGGGCAGTTAGGGGTGATCAGGCCGGCAGAGAAGGAAAGTTGGGGCAAACAGGCTGGCAGGGAAGCAGTTAGACATCAATCAAGCTGGCATGGGAGTGATTAGGGGTGATCAGGCTGGCAGGCAGAAGCTGTTAAGGGCAATCAGAAAGGCAGGCAGGGGAGCAATTGGGAGCCAGCAGTCCTGGATTGTGAGAGGGATGTCCCAGATTGGAGAGAGTGCAGGTTGGGCTGAGGGACACCCTCCCCCCAAATGCACGAATTTTGTGTACCGGATCTCTAGTATAAAAATAAATAAATAAATAAATAAATAAATAAATAAAGCTTTTACGGGGGGTGGGGGGGATTAGGGAGACTGGGGGAAGATCAATTGGGGGGAAATCGGAGACATATGTATTACTATTTGTAATATCTTAAATAAAAAAGAGAAAAAAAGGTAAAACAAAAACAAAGAAAAATGCGGCTTTGATGAAGCTCATTGGAATCCTAAATATGAACTCCAACTTATGGAACTCAAGTTCCCTCCTGTACAGTCAGTTTGTCCTTTTTTGGGAATTGATAGGTTCTATGACACTTAGTAAAGCCTCTCCTGACTCTGGACAGTTAGTTGACCTATCTTGCACAGGAATGTTATCTGCAATGAGAATTTAAAGGCATCATTGGTTATGACTCTGAAGATAGCCTTGTGAGCCACCAGACATTAAGATTCAATATCCATAGACATTAAGAAAAGGTCAACAAGAAAGGAGAGTATATTCCATTTATTTAATATGATCTTTAATTTTTTTTAAGTATTTTAGTTTCTTTCAAGAATATACTGATTACTTAAAATATACCCACATATAGTTGTCTCAAATTATTTTTGAAAAAGGATAAGGTATAAACTATTAACCAATATTAAACATAAAGCTGTAAAGTTCTGACTCAATAAAGAATGAATTCTTCAGCCCGGCTGAGTGGCTCAGAGTTTAAGGTCAACCCATAAACCAAGAGTTCAGAGTTCAATTCCAGTCAGGGCATATGCCTGGACTGTGGGGTTAATCCCCAGCAGGGGGTGTGCAGGAGACAGCTGATCACTGATTCTTTCTCATCAATGATATTTCTATCCCTCTTTCCCTCTCCTTTCCTCTCTCTGAAATCAATAAAAACATATTTAAAAATAAAAGAATGGACTTTTCAAAAAACACTAAATAGTGAGTGAACCAAAAGTTAAGAAATGGGAAAGAAACAAAAAAAGTGTGCAGAGGACAGAGGCTGGTAACAAATAATGACTAGAGCAAGGCCATTAGCAAGAGGAATGAGAGTGTGAGTGAGAACTCATAATAGTAGACTCCTCTGTTTTCTAGGCTCCTCACTTCATCTACAGTGTCACTTTTTACGTAAGATGGGATGCTCTACAAATTGTTATCAGATCTATGAAATTCTCATCCAATAGTAAATATTTATAAGAGACACCCTTTCCTGTGTGACTCTAGGTGTTGCTGTTTCGTTGTCTTAGTTATTTCTGATTATAAAACTTAAGACTGCAGTTTTCACTAGAGGGTAACTGAACTTTTTTCTTAGCCATCAGCATCTCAATTTTAGATATCAAGTTTCCCATGCAAATCAATGACTTTATGGATATAGACCAATGGATTTATTAAAGACAAATTATCGTTCAATGATGACCCCCTTTTAACTAACATTAGATATAACTCAGAGTAATTAGAGTTCACTTTAACGTTTATTACCCTGAAAATTGAGGGTTTGAGTAATAAACAATAGCTTCATATTAAGTAAAATTTTTGTATTAATTAAATGCATAAATAATTTTAGTTCTAGTATAACTATGAAAACATCTCAGAAAATAGCTGTTTTATTTAGCCCTAATGGATTTGGCTCAATGGACAGAGTGTCGACATGAACTAAAGGGTCAAGGATTAAATTCTGGTAAAGGGCATACCTTAGTTACAGGTTCGATCCCTGGTCCTGGTCAGGGTGTGTGCAGGAGGCAATCAATCAATCAATGTGTCTCTCTCACATTGCTGTTTCTCGCTCTGTCTCTTCCCCTCCCTTCCACTCTCTCTAAAAATTAATGGAAAAATATGCTCAGGTAAGGATTAACAACAAAAACAAAACTTGTTTCTAATTTGGGGTTATCAAATGCTTGTCTTAGAGAGAGATCTGTTGAATTACCTACAGGTCCTGGATCTCAGTAACCTGAAACTAAGAGGTATTCAAGTTCATTAGCAAGTCCAGAGAATCGTCTGTCTGTATAATGAGAAGCTTATCTGCCAATATATCTATTTAACTTCCAATAGCAATCAATGGTAAGAAGAGGTGAAGACAATGAAGACTCAGCCTAAAAAATATTCTTGAGATCCTGAAAACTGGTGGATTGGGTACAGTCTAGCCTGAAGAGCCTTCTAAGCCAATAGTTCTAAAATGGTTTCTGAAGAAAATGGTGATTTTCAAAAAATAACAAAAAGTCTATAAAGATGAAATTCTTATAGATGTTGAATGGAAGGAGTGCTAATATTTATTGTTATGCTATGTTATATATTTCTTGTTGTTACATATTTTTATAGAATAAAAAATATCAATGTTTCTCTAAGTTAACCTGAATCTTCATAAAGTATTACAGACTTACCGAAAATATTGGCACCTCGCTGCTAAAATTACTCGGTGAGCAGGAAAACGCTTCTTTTCCACAACAAATGTGACATCACCATATTCTTCCCCAATCAACAAGGCACCAATATGTTCAGATAAAATGTGCACGTGATCAATTTCCCCCACTGCAGTAAAGGGGCGAAGTGGGTGGCTGTTACTCATTTTGTAGAATAGATAATAGTCGCTGATCTAGGATAAAAAAGGGATGAAAGTTAGTGGGGGTAAAGGGGGAGGAGAATACATGTAAAAACATCACATACCATAAGCATAGCTAAATAAAAATTTAAACTACGTATTTTAAAACATTCACAGGAGACAGGTTTCATCATTATTGATATCTTCATTAACCCATTTACTGTGGGAAGCAATTCTGCCTGCTTCCATTAGCACACTACCTTCCTTCACTGCGTTTTCACACTGGGAAAGGAAAAATAAATGCCAGGATCCTCGAATACTAGCAGTACATAGAAATATCACAATCTAGAACTCTATGCCAAATACAGGTCCCTTACTTCTCAGAACCTCAGGAAGAAGAAAATCAAGCACCAGAAGAATTCCTCTTTTAGCACAGACAGACTTAATAAGGTGGGTATAACTAAATAACTTCAGCAGAAAATGCATTCAGGCATAGATATAGACCTAAATCACAAGAAGAATAAACTTCATATAAATCACAAGAAGAATAAACATATTTCAAATATTTTCAGAGCTTTGGGTGTAAAACCATCTTAAATATTTTCTAAAAATTACCAATCTTCTATACTCATAAAAATAAGTAGACATTAAAGCATCCTAATCCTCCTCAAAAATGAAGTATTTTTCTCAAGACTAACTTCTAGCCCAAACTTACAGCTCTAATGATCACATTACCTAGGTTTACCAGAACATCATTATATTTACAGACACATCCTTGCTTTGTATGCCATGCCTTTCAACATGTTAACTGAAAGTCAAAAAGCCAAAACTTAATGAACATCTTCACATTAGAAAAGGAAGTGATGTGCTTCAAAAGTTAAAAATGTTTATATTCTTAAATCTGTAATGTATTCTCAGGTACTGCTTTTTCAGTTACAAGTAACCCAGGAAGTGGATGAGAGCCTTCACCAGCATCCAGGGGCCAAGGTGGAGATGTGGTCAATAGCTCAGAGGTGAGTCAACTGCCCTCTGCTGCTCTAGAGACTTGGGGAATTAAGCCAGATATGTTCTCTCCACTAGCCCTACACACCTTCTAGAACTCTCCACTTTGACCAGAAAGGGTTGAGGGTTAAGCCACTCCTAATTTTTAAGCTTTCACATCCAAACCCATTATTAGCAAAGTGTATGAAAAATGGTCTTTATTCCCAGAGACTGCAGTAGGAGTACCTCCTGATCCAGTTACCTGCTATCCATGACCATCCCAACAGAGGGAGGAACAGCAAGGACTGTGATGTAGGGGAACATGGAGGATGTGAGTTAGGCAAACAGACACCCCTGGTAAGTAAACAAATATGGCCCCCATATTAGGAACATCAGAGGGTTAGCAGCATATACCTCAATGCCAAGGCAAATCCCTTTCCCTCAATTGCATCCTCCATTGGAAAGCCCTAAAAACAGAATCATCTCCAGTCACCTGTGCATGAAAGACCACATTCAGATTAAGAGGATTAATTTAAGAAGTGTCAGCAAATCATGTGTGACTCAATCATCAAATGTGCAATACAACATTCTACCACAGGAATTGGCAAACTTTCAACCAAGTCAGACAGTATTTTAGGGTTCTGCAAGCTATACAGCCACTGTCACAATACTATTCAACTAAAAGCAGCCACAGACAGTAAGTAAATGAGGATGGCTATGTTCCAGTAACTATTTACAGGATAAAGCTGGATTTAACCCTCAGGCATAGTTGGCCAATCCCTGCTCTAACATATGATCAAGGACTGACTGTAAACTAGACAAAGGTTCAAACTGCTTTAGTTTTTGTTTTGGTTTCTGGCTAGATTACATAACCAATGTTCAAAATAACACAGTCATTTCCTATATCAGCCATAAAATTCTGATAGTGACTCATACATGATTTTAAAATCCCATTCCTTGTCAACAAGAACTCTCACGTCACTATCAAATAAAGGGTATAATAAAAATAAAAAAACTGTATACACACACTTTGAATAATTATAAAAGCAGTGTTTATTAAAATACATTTCATTTTCAAAACTGAGCCATCAGCTGTTCAAGTATATATACATTTTTTCAGTACTCCCTGTATTTCCCTCAATGACGGTGCATGACTCTGAACAAAACTAACACTCTTCTGGCTGAAAAGATGCAATGCATATACAGAAATACCTCAGTTGCAGAGCACCACAATAAAGTGAGTACTGCAATAAAATATTTTTGCTGGTGAAAGTTCTTAACTTTAATTTGTAAAAAATGCAACATATATGAAGCACAATAAAGAGAATTGTAATAAAATGAGATGTGCCTACCCAGTGAATATTTTCTCTATTATAACATTCTCTTACATCATGAGTAAGATTTAAATGATTAACTAAATGATTATTGATGCACAATGATTAGTTTTTTGTTAATTAGCTCAAAAGTAAATGTATAATTCTTCAACTGATACAACATATGCAAATATCATAGTAGGTTCTCTAGATCTGAACTTCTTAGTCACACAATTTCATTTTGCTAAATTTACATTTTTATTATGCTTTTCCAAAAAAGACATAAAGCTAATATTTCTGGGTATAGAAAACAGCCTCTTAGTATGGAATAAACACAATTTTTATTGGCATACAGAAAGAATTTTAATTAGACCAAAGGTTCTCAATGAGCTTGCCACATATTGGATTCACATGAGGAGCTTAAAAAGAAAAGAAAAATGATTGAGGACCTCAGGCCGCACCTATGAGAAATTCTGATTTAATTGGTCTGTAATGTGTAATCACTTTTCTGACTAGATTCTAATGAGCAGCCTGGAAAACAGCCACTGAGCTAGACTCCATTGTAGATTCATAACTCTCACTCAGGTGAGCAAATCTATCTACTTACCTATACAAAATGGGAATATGCAAATTGACCATCACACCGTCACAAAGATGGCAGCCCCCACAGTGGAGGCAGGGTTTCCATAAAACAAGACAGCTGCACCCACAGCAGAGGCTGAGTTCCCAAAACAAGCCTTAAATAACAATCAGCAGGGACCTGAGGATGCATGGCACTGGGCTGGGGCAGGGGACCTGAACATGAGCCCTCGCCTGGCAGGGCTTGATAGGGACCTCAGGCCGCACTCCCATGCCCTGGTTCGGGGCCAGGAGACCTCAGGCTGCACCCCACGCCTGGTAGGGCTTGACAGGGGACCTCAGCCCGCATCCCCCAACCAGCAGGGCTTGATGGGGACCTCAAGCTGCGGCCCCCCCGCATGCCGGTGCTGAGGCGGGGGACTTCAGGTTACTCCCCTTATCCCAGGAGGGAGTACCTCAGGCCACACCCCCTGCCAGCAGGGCTTGACAGGAGACCTGAGACTGGACCCCCACCAGGTGGGGCTTGACAGGGTGCCTGAGGCTGGACCCCCCACCCAGCAAGGCTTGACCGGGATCTCAGACTGGGACAGAGGACCTCAAGGCATGCACCCCGCCCTAGCCCAGGCTGGGGGACCTCAGGCCAGCCCCCGCCCCCTGTCCCAGCGCCCAGGCCAGGGGACCTCAAGCCACACCTCCCATCCCAGCGGGATTTGACAAGGGACCTCAGGCCACGCCGCCTGCCCTGGACTGGGTCAAGCGACCTCAGGCCACAGGAACCTGAGGGTGTGCTGGGGGACCTAAGGCTGCACCCCCTGCCCAGTGTGTGCCAGTGAACCTGAGGCTGCACCCCTGCCCAACGGGGCTTGAGGGGGCACCTGAGGCTGTGCCCTCTGCCTAGCAGCCAGGCCCGGGAACCTGAGGCTATGCCCGGCTTAATGGGGGTATGGCCGGCCAGGTCTGGAGTTCGCCCAATTGGAGTGGAGCCAGCTGGGTCTGGGTCTCACTTGATTTTGAGGTGGCGAAGGTGGATGGGGTCTTAACTCTGGGTCCTGAAGCACACCCCAGACTCTGACAGGAGGAAGATTTTCATATACATTTTATTAATTTTCTTTCATCTCTGACACTTATTATAAAGGGCAAGTATCAATATTAAAATATTTCCTCTAATTAATCCCCTTTTGATATGTATGCATTTTGTGCACCGAACGACTAGTATACAAATAAAATACTAGCTGAGAAAGTTCATTTGGGATATGATTCCATTTTAAGTTTTATTGCAAAGAGAAAATGGTGCTAACATGTTACTAGTGTGACAGCTTCTGTGCAGAAAATACTTTCACCTAATGCTGTAGCTTATCTACAAAGTCATATTGGGTTCATTGCTTGCTTTTTTTTTTAAAAAAAAAAAAAAAAAAAAAAAAGCATGTTTTAGAAATCACACACCAATAAATGTAATTTTTTAAACAATTTTTTAATTAGCTAGATAAAATTGGAAAAATTTTAACTTTACGGGACAAAACTGTTTATTGATTTTTCTTAAGTTTTGAAACTTATTCTCTCACTAATGACATAGGTAATCTTTGACAAAATTTCTAGCTTCCATGAGATTGTTTCCACACCTATAATGACATGGTTACATTAGGGTTTTTTTAAATATTATTTTTTAACTCTGCCACTACTTTTTCTTATCACTGTTTTGGGCCTGTCATAAGAAATAGACTCTCATGACACAGCATATGGCCGTGCTCATGGCTGTTATTTATGACAGCAAAAGAATACGGTGCAAAATAAAAAATAAAAAAGCAAGTGGAGTGAAGGCCCTCACACAAGAGTCCTCTCCCAATGGAGTAACATTGGATGTGTTTAATTCCCCCACAAAGCTGTGACAGCACAAGCTAAATGTTTCTAACCAGGAAGCTTGCTAGAGACTCAACACTCAGAGTGTTTTACAGGAGGCTGTTAGTGTAGGTAGCCCTTGCCTTGCCTGTATCCAAATTCCAGATTCCAAGAAAGAAAACAGCATTTAACATAAACCACACTGCTTTGTACACACTGTTTAAATGAGCCACTCTTATCAATTAATGGCAGAAATCCTTCACAAATCCAAGTTTCCAGATATCAGGCAAGGGACAACTTTGCAAGCTGGCCTTCCTT